TCACCCTCCTCCTCCCGTCATCCTTCTCCTTGTGAATCGGGAGGAAAAGGAGGAGGACCAGCAGCAGCAGCAGCAGCAGGAGGAGGTGCCGCTCGCGAGGTGGCCAACCCGTTTCGCCTGAGACATCCTCGCAATTTTGGGCTCTGATATGCCCCGACCCGAGGTGGTCCAGCCCGTGTTTCGCTCGAGATGTCCTCGCGTCTCTACGCCCAGATGTGCTCTGACCTGAAGTGGTCTGCCCCGCTTCGCCTGGGACATCTTCGCAACTCTAAGCTTGGATGTGGCCGTGACTTCTTGGGAGCCTGGGGGCCTCCAACGTGGCTTGGGCTGGAGGCCCCAAGAACACCGAAAGGAGTTATCAAGCAGCTCGAAGTGTGGATTCAGCGCGCGCTGACAAGATTCCCCCCGTCGATCTGTGGATTCGGCGCCGGTAATACGGATGCCACGCCCTCGATCTGTGGATTCTGCGCGTGTACACCGGACGACCCAAGGACCATCTGCGAACAACATGCGTGTCCGCAGATTGTCTTGTGGGTGCACCCCTTGTCCGCAGATTGTGCGCGCACAGGCCATGGCAATCTGTCCGCAGTTGACAGCACAATCTGTGGACAAGGGACACCTGTCCACACTTGACAGTACAATCTGCGGACGGCCTCCCTAAAAATGTTGTCCGCAATTGACCACAATCTGTGGATTCGGTCACTGTACACGACCGCTGCTCGACAACCGGATGGTGCCCCGACCTCGGTGCCTAAACCGGGGGATGGGGCCCGGGTGGGGACCATGTGTCCGCACATGTCGACTGCACGTAAGAGTGACTTTTCGCCGGAGTGACCTTTGGTGCGGGCCCATTGGGCTTCCCCCGATCGCCGAACGCGATGCGATAGTAGCGTGTTGCGCGCTTGTGTTTGGTCCCCCGAGGCCCCCAATGAGTCGCGCACCAAAGGTCACTCTAACCCAGGGTCACTCTTACGTGTGGACTGCCTCGTACACGAACGGCAATGCACTGCACCGCGCGGCACTGGGAACATGAGGGAAGATGAGGAGGGAGGGCGAGAGAACGAGAAGAGAGGGATTTCAGAGGGCCTCAACAAGTCTCCAAGAAGGCTCCAAGGTCCCCCCAGGAACCTCGATTCGATGTGGGGGCACGCGGCCGCATTTCCCCACTTCTGTGAGGCCCTCCAGGGACTGTCTTGGGGTACCCTTGGGTCCCTCATGGGGTCCTTCTGGGAGCCCAGCCGACAGCCGACGAGCGCGAGGGCACGGATGAGCAGCATGTTGCGCATGCCGAAGCCAGCGCGACGTCGGACTGGTGTCCACACCCTCCTTATTGACCTCCTCCTCCTCCCCATTCTCACCTCCGCCTCACTCCTCGCGTTTGTCCTCTTCGTCGCGCCAAAGGGGTCCAATACAGCCCAATAGGGCCTGAAAACGACCAGGGACGTTTTTCAGACGCCCTGCTTCCCTCCTTTCCCCATCATCCTTCATTGTTGCCCCTCCCTTGGGGTCATTATGTGAGGGATACCGCCCCACAGTCGCAGAAACCATGATACCATTCAGGACGTCGATGATCTGTTATATCACGGGCGATGATGGTGCCCTTATGTTCGGCAATATTTGAGTGCACGCACCATGGCAATGACATCGAGATTGTGCCAATGCTGTGAAATCCAATGCTATTTAGTGCCTATGCTCTGCGATGCCCGATTGTCCACTCAGGGTCCAGATACTTACGGGCTTGATAATGCAATCTGCGTATGTATGTGCTGTGTTTTCTGTTGCCGCAGACGACATGCTCAGGGCTGCAATCTGCAGATTGGCAGGATCTGCAGACAGTTGTGTCGGCCGCCATATAACGGCTCTAGATACAGGCTTCAACAACAGCCCAATTTTTCCCACTCAGCTGTCGATTCCCGCCGATCAGACTTATTTCGATCGCCGATCCGACTTATCGATTCGATTCTGGGATCCCCTGCCCCCCCCCTGTATCGCTCCCCCCCCCCGTAGCTGGCGCCCGAGGAGGCGGGGCCGAGGCTGGGAGGAGGCCCGGGGAGAAGCCGGAGCGGGAGCCAGACGGCTGCAGCCAGAGCTCCGGCCCGACTCCTTTCGATCGCCGATTCCCCTGCCCCCCTCGGGGGCCCCCAAACGGTGCGGTGACCACACCGTGCGGTGAGTCGATGGGGATTCGGGGTCACCGCACGGTTTTGGGACTCGGGTCGTCCTCCGAGGACGTCTCGGGCGACAGGGGCCTCCGAGGTCCCAAAACCGTGCGGTGACGGACCGTGCGGTGAGGTCTTGGGGGATTTCGAGGTCACCGCACGGTCCGTCACCGCACCGTTTCGGGACTCCCAACCCCCCCCCCTGTATCGCTCCCCCCCCCCCCGTAGCTGACGCCCGAGGAGGCGGGGCGGAGGCCGGGAGGAGGTCCGGGGAGAAGCCGGAGCGGGGGCCAGGCGGCTGCAGCCAGAGCCTCTGGCGGGCGAGCGGGGCTTCGCCGGCGGTGCCGCGGGGAGGTGTGGGGCGGGGCTGGTCTGTTTTGAGGAGGCGATTTTCCACCACCACTATCATAGGTAAGCGAGGGAGGAGGAGGAGGAGGAGGAGGAGGACGAGGAGGAGGACGAGGACGAGGACGAGGACGAGGAGGACGTCCCTATCTTCCCTGCTACCCCGTCCTACCTTTGGCAGTGGTGATGGAAAGCTGGCCCATCATACCCGGGCCTCCGACATGTTGCTTTGCATCGTCAGGGTGCATTCCTTGTCCTGTGAATGGCTGTCCTTTGTTGTGCTCCGGCGCGGGTTCGACGCGGATTCGGCGTGGATTCGACGTGAATTCGACACGGATTCGACACAGATGCCACACGGACTCAACGCGCTCCACACCGATTCGACACGGATTCGACGCGGATCGCGGCGCGACGGGACAGACACGGTCTTCCTAAGATTATGATGCTCCAACCTACTTTAGCCTTGATGACCAGGAAGAATTTCGAGCGTCCAGAAGAGTACCAAAATTCAAGGGCTTTCACGTGTCGGGCCCTGGGAGACACTCGTCCGACACTGTTCCGACACTCTTACGACACTTTTCGGGGTGCTCGAAATTGTTTCTGGGATGTGGTCTTTAAGCAGGGTGGGAACAACATAATCCTAAGATGCAACATGGTCCAGGCAGACGGGGTCGGATGATCGCACCGCGTCGCCGATGCATCGGCCATGCGGCTCGATGTGGAGCCCAAGTTTCTTCACGCAGACGTCGCGCATGCATCGCCGACGTCGCCGACGCATCGGCGACACATCGGCGACGTACCGGCGATGCGGCGCGATCTTCCAACCCCATGTATTCGGACACCATGTGGGAGGCCTTTTATCAGTACCATCGACATTCTTCATGCTACGCGAATCCCCACCAGCCCGGGTCCTGGTCCTGGTTGCAGTTTGCACCGCCCGCCGGCAAGGTTTCGGGTTCTGCCCCGTGTCCTGGCTCCTCCTCGCGCCGCCCGGCAGCTTTGGCAGCTCTGGCGGCTTAGGTTGGCCGCCGGTCCCCGTGGCGCTTGTCTTTTCTCTCAGGAGTGCGTGTGCGATTTCGGTGGCGCCACTCGTACTGGTTCCTGGTCAGTGACGTATTCTCGGCCTTCGGGGTCAGTATTACCTCCTGGTGCGTATTGCAAGCGAGCTGCCCCCTTCAGGGGCTGGGTGCATGGATGTCTCGTGTGGTTCATCCTACGTCTAGTCCTCGCCTTCAGCGGTCACTTGTCAGCTCCGCTGTCTGTGACCTTGCCGCGCCATTTTGGCCGCGTTTTGCTCTCTGGCCCGCCGGTTCACTCAGGAGTGGTTCTGCCTTCTTGTTCGGCCTGGCGTGCCCCCAGTTGGTCCGCAGCCCAGACTCTGGCACCCTGTGGCGAACAGGTTGAATTCGCATGCTGGCGAGTCAGCTCCCATGGTATTCGCACGTGTGCAGCTTCCTGGCAGCCCCTGCAGCTTGCAGTCCCCACCTTCGGCCCTGCCGCTCAGATTCGGCGCAGCCGTTCCCCCCGGCGGTAGGTCCTGCTTAGCTCCGCGCGCGCGCAGGCAATGAGTTCCGCTCGTAGCCCGAGCTGACTCGAATCGCCGCTGGCGCTTTCGCATGCGGTTGCGACGGAAAAATATCCCCACCAGCCCATTCAGAAACCCTGCCCTTCAGCGCTGACGGGAAAAGGGACGAAGAGACACATCTAGGGGAACAAAGCGGACAATAGAGTGGCCTTGGAAGGCCTCTTCGGGCCGTCCCTGGGTGCCGTGGGGGCGAGGGGAAGAGGAGGAGGAGGAGGAGGAGAAGGAGGACGAGGACTAGGATGAGGACGACGCGGGCGAGGACGCATGGAACCATCTAGAGGTATTCTTGTGGCTGTTGCTGCTGCTGCTGCTGCTGGTGCTCTCTGGGAGTTTGGGGGGGCCCTCTTGGAATCCTCCTGGTAGCCCTGGAAGGTTTCTTGGGATCATATTGGAGGCCATCGATTCCAGGATGGGGGGTCCCCAACTCAGCTCCCCCCTCAAGAGCCTGCAAACCGCTTCTTGAGGCTGTCTTGGAGCGCTTCTGGAGCGGTCTTGGGGCGCGTTCGGAGCAGCTTGGGAGCCATCTTGAGCCAGCTTGGGGTATCTGGGCCATCTTGGAGGTCATCTTGGGCTATCTGAGACCGCTCGGGGGCCTCTGGGGGCCTCTCGGGTGCCTTTTGGGGCCCTCTTGGGGCTCTCTTGGGGCCCTCTTGGGGCTCTCTTGGAGCTCTCTTGGGAGCCCTGGAGCGCCTTTTGGGGCCATCTTCGAGGCGATCGACCAAAGGAGGAATTCACCTGATCGACGCCCCCCCCTCGAGGGCCACGATCCTCGTGAGGTGTGTCAAAAATTGGCCCTCCCAGGGGCCGATATTGGACGCTCCAACGCCTCGCGCCCCCCCCCCCGTCCAGGTCCGGGGGAGGGGGTTGGGGGAGGGGTCGAGACACCCTCTCCGCCCGCAAGCCGTCTAGCTCACTTCCATCCGCCCTCCCACCACATAAGCGCCATCCGAGTCTCGGCATAGCCAGGGGTCGCCACTGGGTAGACAGCCATCGAGAACCAAAGCGGACGCCAGGTGCGCGACACTGGCCGCGGGTTCCACATGCGGTTGGTGTGTCATCTTGTGTATATATATATAGATGTGAGAGGGAGAGAGAGAGAGAGAGTAACACAAACAACTCATATATATATAAGTGATTAACTAATTACCTCATTAATTAATTAATTAATTAATGAATTATATGTGTAAAAACATAGGTTTGTTTCTTTTTATTTAAAGAAACGTGATGCCCCCCCCCCGTCCGCATGGTCCAGATGCTGGTGGGGGCCGTCAGCATTGTTCTGGGCTTGCGCACAGCAAGCATCATCATGCGGGCACCACCGCCGTCCTTGTCAACAAAAACAATGCAAAGTGATCGCGGGTGGCCAGCACAATACCCACGAAGTTGTCGCAACGTGCACTTTGCATTGTTTTTGACACGGATGGTGGTCCTGCACAAAGCGGCTTCACTAAGGGTGCCCCGCCATCTTTGTCAAAAAGCCATACAACGTGCCCACAGGGCGCCAGCGCACTGTCCAGATGTTGCTGCAATGTGGACTTCGGATAGTTTTTCGACCAGGATTGTGGAGGGTGTTGGCAGGGTGGGCCCCGCAATGTGCATGTTGTGGTGTTTCTTTCAGAGGGATGATGGGGGGGGGGCTCGCATGGTTCCGGGTTGGCTGCCGGCCAGGTGGGGGAGGGGGTGTTTATTAGTAGGGAACAGTGGAAAAGTGAAAAAAAAACCTCCCAGAAGGGGAAGAAGGATTCTTGGAAGAGGAAAGAAAGTCATCGTTAGACCACCTGCGGCCAGAGGGCTGGTGGGATTGTAAGGCTGCGGGTTGCGCACAGACAGCCCGCCAGATGCGGCGCCAGGATTGGGAGTGTTGAGACCGCCCTGGACTACTCGGAGGGCTTGTTGAGGCCAGCTGGGACTACTCTGGGGGCCTGTTGAGGAAGGCTGCGAGAACCTGTTGGGCTGTCTGTACGCAACCCGCAGCCCTACCAGATCGAAAGAGAGGGGATGAAGATCGACAGCAGTTCTTGTCTCGGGGGGAGGCCACTGGGTCTAGGACCCTTTTCTCTCAGGACTTGCCTGCTTCGCGCCATAAGGAGAGAGGGCTTCCCAAACGGGTTCCGCGCGTGTGGGGTCGGAGGATCGCGCCGCATCGCCGAGGCATCGGCGAAGCGGCTCGGTGCGGAGCCCGATTCGTTCCGCGCCGACGGCGCGATCCATCGAAGGATGCATCGGCGATGCGATGCGTTCCTCCGACCCCATGTGCTCGGAACCCGCTTGGGAAGCCCTCACGCAGACGCGTCTTGAGAGAAGAGGGTCCTAGACCCCCGGGCCTTCCGCCAAGACAAGAGCTGCTGCACTCGGACCCCATTCGGGGAGGCCTTCGTCCCAGGAGTGGGGGAGCGCAAACGTGGATCGAGGCGCGTGGATTGGCGACTGGTCCCGCCTCCGTACAGAGGGGGCCCGATTTCCTGGGACCCCTCTTCGGGAGACTTCCATTTTACCCTCAGAGAGATTAGCGACCAGCCCCAGGAAATCTGGAGTTCCCAGGGAAGAGGAGGAGGAGGAGGAGGAGGAGGAGGAGGAGGAGGAAGGAGAGGGAGGGGAAGGGGGAGCCTCCTCTGACAGCCCTCGGGCGGTACGGGCCTCGTGTTTCGGGGGGTCCCTTCCACGATCAGGCGCCCAGTCGAGAGATCCACAGGTTTCGTCATCCTCCTCCTCCTCCTCCTCCTCCTCCTCCTCCTCCTCCTCCTCCCTCCTCCCCAGAAGGAGGGAGGAGACGGAGGAGGAGGGCCAGAGCAGCCCGAGATGCATCAACGGTGCTGCGATACGCGCTTCCGTCCCAATCCCCCCCCCCCCTCAAAAGTCCCTACAGACCTTCCATTTCGCTACAGGAGGCGCCCCAGTGGAAGACGAGCGCCCCCATGGGCCCGCCATGCAGGCGAGAGCCCCGTTTTGAAAACGACCTGCCGTGCATCCTTCGGCGAAGAGTGCGGCATGCGAAAATCATGCGCCGGCGTTCCACCACCACTGCCGTGTGCAGGACGGCGGGGGAGAAGGGAGGATGGGGAGGGACCCTCTTCCTCCTCCTCTTCCCTCTGGCCCTCGCCTATACCTATGGTACACCTTAGGCGATGCTTAAGAAAACCTAAAGTTTCGGCCATAGTCTCGATTATTCTTAACTTTTGAATGTAAATCCCAAGATGTTGATAGAAGTTCTGGGTTTTAGTCCATTTCTGAGACCATGAATTTCTTAACCCATGATTTCTTAAGCATTTCGCAGGGTGTGGCGGTGGTGGAGAATCGGCCCGTCCGAAAGAAGCATGATCACATGCAGCTGTATAAAGGAGACGTCCAGCGAGCGCCCCCTCCTGAAGAGCCGCCTCCCTTGTCCGCGCAGGTCCTGCACGACAGACTGCA